TATCCTGGAGAAGACGCACAAAAACGGTAACTTTCCAATGCATGTCCGAAATATTGGAACAATGAAATAATATAATAAAGTATCTCTCGGTAAACCTCACGAACAATGGGTGTTGCAAACAACCGTTAGGTGAAAAAACCTATTATACTCTGTTGCAAGATGATGCGGGTGTATACAAATGGTATTGAAAAGTTAAAAGATCACTCTAATCATTATATCGCCGTGCAAATATGTTGAATAGTAAAATCGAGTTTTGCTACAAAAATTGTATTATTATTAAAACGATATGAACTTTTCAGGTTACCTGCTAAAATAACTGCTAAAATGTTGTTAACTATTTTTATATTTAATTGCAGCATAAATCCAATGCATATTCACCAATAAGAACTTGAGCAATTTATTTATTTTTAGCGCTTGCACACAACTCTTAAAAACTGCATGCAGCGGAGTTAATTTTTAGTAGTTTTTATAAAATATTACAAGTTAAGATGCATACACAGACATGTAAATCACCTGACAGGTTTTCTTTGTTACAAATATTGTCCAAAGGTGATAATCCACTGTGGTATTAAGGCAAACAAGCAGCAGGTAATCAGTGTCATTCGAAAAAACAGACATTGATTGTTGCAATTAAAATGATTAATTATTTTATGTTCTTCTTGTAAAATTTTTCAATACTATAAAGGCTATAGAAAATTGCTAAATTACTAAAATTTTAATTTGAACTTTGTTTTGGCGTGACAGATAAAATTTAAATAATTGTTGCGTCATGGACTTTTAGACCCTATAAAGTTGCCTAACTGAGCCACAAAATAGAGCAAATGCTTTAATGACATTTATCGAAGGAAATGAAATAGTATTAAATTTTGATATCGCACTTCGTATTATCGAAGATATAATATATTGTAGTAAAATTTTGATCGCGGTCTTGAATATTTTAGTTAAAGTAATTTCTTGACAATATGCGATGATTAGTTGTGAGAAAGTGCAAAAGTTCATTCTCCACATTTTTTCAAATCCAATTCGGTTGGTAGTTAGTAACCTCCAAATAGATCACCCAACTTTTTGATACAGGTTTGATGCCTGTTAGATACTACCATTGCAGATCTCCAACCATTTTTGAAAATATACATGGAAAGGCTATGCGTCTCCTTTCCTAGGAATTGTGTTCAATCGTCTGGCTGTCACTGCACAATTCGTTTTTTTTTTGTAGTATACTTTTTTACGATTATTGATGGTTTATGTGGTCTTATTGCCTGTTCAGAAGTTCTTATAGCTACTATGCAATAACATTTATTTACATTCTCCCCAACATGTTTAAGTTGACTTTCTCATAGATTAAACATATTAAGACCTTTTTGTTAAAAGTTCCGACATGGTTATCTTTAAAGTATATGAAATAAGGCATGGTATAGAAAAATGAGAAAATAATTATGTCCAATTAGTTGTCTCAAGATTGAGTAACAAGAGTATTTAGTTAGTTGACATTATGTTCCGCGCTGTTAGTATCAGGTGAATTCTGACGATGATAGAATGGTTCTCAATTTAAAATAAAGATGATTTTTTTTTAACTATGTGATTTTAAAAACACATTTCGGGCAAGAATATTTAATAAATTCCAGCCGAGAGGCTCAATTTCTGTTTCTCTGTGTGGGAAAAAAAATTGTTAAATCACAATATCTTGGAGGCTACGCCACAGGCTCACCACGCGAGATAATGCACTCACCAAAAGTTTCCAAAAATAACTGAATTGCCGTCTTCTCGGAACCAAGGGTCTTCCACAATAATATACTCCTATTTGACACGAAAAATTCATTAATCATGGTTCTATTGTGTTCATCAATGATTATATTATAATGGTCGGCTTCATTTTTGAAGAAATATGGAGCAATGGGCCTGAGGGAATGCCCATAGAGCACATCAAACTGTGAGTTTTAGAATATGTAAAGGGGTCTAAACAATGGTTTGTGGATTATTATCACTACAAATGTGACAATTCTGTTTATTAGCGGACACATTCAACCAAACGTGAGCTTGATCGCTTGACAAAATTAATTTGATTTTGTCTATTTACAATACCAATCTCCCTAGAGTGTCAGGGAACACGTGCACCAAGTCTCATCAGGAAACTTTTATTCTAGCAATCGCCTGCATGAACGACGAACGAACGGATAAATAGATATCCGGAATACTACTGTTCCCGCCATCCTGATCAATTTGGTATCTCGATTTATTTCAGATTGGACGACGTCCAAATGAGGTTTATCGCAATAGTTGAAAAACAAACCATTTTAAAGGAATGTTTGGACATATCATCTACACAAATTTGTGTTTGTGAAATATCTGTCACTCACTCATAGCAATATGTTCCATTCTAACATCGAGTTTAGCCAAAGTATCAGAATACTAAAATTGTAACTGACTAATTACGTGTAACCGTTTGTCGCAACAGTATACAGATAACCTGAAATTTTAATGCAACCCATATATTCTTACAAATTGTGTGTAGGGCGCTTTCTACACTAGGTTTAATTAAACAGCAAACCAAATTTGTAGAAGTATTAAATATGCTGTTTTTCAGTTCATAATATTAGAAATTATAGTACAGCAAACCGTCAATTTAATATCAAAAAAAATAAACAAAAGTATATCAATTATATAGATGAGTTCCAAAGGAAAAATTACATAAAAAGGAAAACTTATGTAAAAATTTAAATAATTCAAGCATGTACTTTCATGCTCTTTGTTAACACTCTGCAGCAATTAATATAAAAATTGGTTCAGCCACTTAACAAATCACTCTCCCAACGTCATCGAGCTGACCACGAGTGAGCTGTGAGTGAACTCAACAAACTGTGACGCTCTTGAGTCGAATAGCCAGTTCCGTTCTCTGCTTTTGCTAGTGAATACTATTTTAAATGAATTTCGAGCATTGCGCATGCGCAGCACAACTGCTACTGAGCCAAAGGCGCAATATAATCGAAGAGCGGGTTTCAAATTCTGTTTGCTTTTTTGTTATTTTTTCACAACTGGCACTCTTTTACACCGCTTCACTGCTCTTCGGTTAAATTGGCTTCAACTCGACTATAATCAGCTCGCAATTGAAACTGTGTCTGCACACCTACCTCAACCTACCCGAACCAACCAACTTGCAAGCGCGTTTGTGTATTCGCCCATGGTAAGTTACGTCGGCGTTGCTCTTTGGCAAATTTGTGCTCCCCTTGGATGCCTTGCAGACTGCGCAAAGCATTAAAACTACGCCAGCTACTGCCAGCCACCAATAACCAAGCGCAGGCTGCCAATTGCCAACCAACACCAGCTACCAATGTAAACGGCCATCGATACACACACACACACTTACACTCACAATAGCATATGAGCATACGTAAATACGAGTATGTAACAAAAATGCTTTGCATTGTAAGCAAACATCCATTCACATACACTGAGTTGACTTGCAACGCTTCGGCTCTTGGCCGACTAACTTGCCTTCAAGGTGTGCACTGTTGTTGTTGTGCATTGTGTTTGGGGGCTGTTGTAAGCGATTTTGGCCACTGCTAAATCACCGAAGTCGCTTTCGTCTGCAGTCATTTGCTTAAAGTTAGTGAACGCGCTAATATCGTGTGCGTCCTGTTATATCGCTAGTGTTGCCGTAGCTGTCCGTTGTGCCGACGAGTTGAGTGTGCTTTGATTTTGTGGTACGAGTGTTCAGTTCATACAAACATTTCATTGCTTTCAAAACATATTTTTTGTTTGACTATACTATAGTCTAGAATGCAATCCATATTGGAGCTGTAGTCTTTTACCTGTAATAATGAAAATAATTACTTTTGAATTTGCAAATTATAAGGCTTCTGAAGAGCTTTAATAGTTATTGTAAATAATTACTTGCTACAAAAAATTTTGGACTGGTCTTTCTGGTGAAGTGTAGAGCATGTAAATGGTTATGCATGAAAAGTGAAGGTGGTGAATGTTGCAGAACTATATTTTATGTTGTTGTCATTATTATCTTTATATAAAAAATATTTAAATATAACTTTTGTACTGAATAATTAATTATACCAGCATGTGTTCCCTCGTATTATTCTTATTCTTATGAATAACTTGCGTTTCTCTTACATAATAGTTTGTGAATTTGAAGTAGAATTATAAAAAGCGTTAGTTTAGCGATTATTTCGTAAAACATGTTGTGAAGTTGATTCTACATAGTTCTTAAGAAACTACTTGGAATAGTTCTAAAAGTTAACTTAATATTTATCTATATTCTACAAAGAATTAGTCCTTAAAATGTCGATCTAGAATATACAATAGAATACAGCGTTATAGAAATGATTAAATTCAAAGATGCAAATGCTGAAACCAATAAATTTAAGAGGCTTTAGAATTATAATAAAGGATAGTCCGTTAGCTTATAACTGCGTCAATGTTGATTACTTTATGTATTAATTCTTAGGTATTCTTCTCGCCTAAGAGCCATTTCTGATTCTGATTAACCACTTCAAGTAAATACTTTTCCATCGATTTCTTTAAAATTTGTAACTTTTAGAGTAAATAGCTGAAGTACTTGATTTTTTGCTTTACTATTTCAGTAAGCAATTCTTAGATTACTAGAACAATATATGTATACCTAAATTTATAAATTTTTTAAAAATATATATATTTATTTAGCTATATTTAAAACTCAACTCAGCGTTTTATCTTTCATAATAACTTAGAATCAGAAGTGTAAAACTGCTAGGAAAGAACGATAAAGGCTTTGCTATGTTTGTAGAAAACGAATATAGTTCTAGTAACCTAAATCGATCTCAGCCACCTTCACATATGCGTAAAGATATTATTTCTTAAAAAAATTAACATTTTACTTTATATATTTGAAGTTCTTAAACCAGCTAAAAATTGTATTAGCGCCTATATATGTGCTTTAAATTATTTTTAAATACTAGACAAAAAGTTCATAAAAAGAAAATACAATATTTAATCAGTCTTATCTAATTTTTCAGATTCTCTTCCACTCTCCACATTCGACTGCAGAAGTACATACACATCTCTGAAATAATAACGTCTAGTAAACCAAACATAAACAGCCAAAAAATGCAGTCACTACGGTGCAGTTTGGGTCTTTTCCTCGTCTTTATCATTTGCCAAACTTGTCTGGCGGTGCCTGCCTTGCGTGTCAAACGTCAACCAGATGATCTGCTCTCACTGGAGGCGGAGAGTGCGGATGCAATCAATAGCGATTTGAATCCTATCAATGCAGAGGTAATATACGTTAGATATAAGAAAATTAAGTGGCGAAAAATTTGCTGAATACCTAATTCGTTATGCAGCATCAACATGCAGCAAGCTTGCCCCGTGGCAAGAGCCGCATGCTGCATAAAAGCTACAGACCATATTTTCGTTGACTGCCACAACTGGTTTTTCGACAGCTTGCTTTTTAGCTATTTGTTTGTTTGCAAGCAAGTGCATATGTATTAATTTTTCTTATAAATTTTTGTTAATGTTGTTCGTTGGGGATATTTGGGTGAATGGTTAGCCTTTGTCCGTGTTGTCGACGTCATCGAATATGTTTGATTGTAAAAGAAGGAAATGCTTAGCTCGTGGTTTACTGCTGACAAACAGTTACAATTGCGAATACATTTGTATTACGTGTAGTTGTAGAGTTGTGTGTAAATATAAGTACCTTACATACATATATATATATATACGTGTAAACACTGTGTAGCACTCATTATTTGCACTGCAGGAAGTAAAAATCATTAATTTACATTGCTATAATGTTTAGTGCATTGCCGTAACTTTGTTCATGCTTTTCAAAAGATTTCGTGAAAGGAGTGTCATTTTTCCTTTCTTTCACTTCTTGATGATTACCAAAGTGCTCGTTGGATGGTTTTGAACTTTATAATATAAAGTATAAGCAGCATTTAATTTATTAATTTCAATACACAATGGTATATACCATATATATTAGGGTGTTTCACTAGAAACTTTTTTTTGATTTCTTTGCGGACATATGAACAATTGAGTGAACAGCTGATTTTATCGAAAAACTTCCAAAGGAAAAGTTGTAGGCAATTAAATTTCTGACAAAAAAGGTATATACGCTCTTAAATAAAAGTAAAAAATATATAGGTTTTAATGAAATTTATATATCTAAAGCATGACTCATTGAATTTAAATTATAATTATAAAATTGGAAATTTAACATCCAATATTGTATATAACTTTTTGATCATCATAAAAAGAGAAATATATTTAAATTAAATACTTTAGATAACAACGACATTTGGTAAATAAAGAATAATGCAAACTGATAATTAGAGCCAATTCAAGTCTACAGATGCTTACGGCAATTAAAAAGCTTCTTCAAGGTTAAACAGAATGGTTAGTAGAACAATCAAAGCAACTACATAGGGAGTGAGGAGTAAGACAATAGAAACATTTTGTAGTGAGACAAAAAAAAAATCGATTTTTGGTTTTTTTGTAGCAATTTTGTTATGACCATAGTTTTCAAGACTTTGAAAGTAAGAATTTTTACTTCTTGACTGTGAATAGTAGTAGAGTTACTGGTTTGGTACTAATAAGATATATTATGCTAATCAATAAGTCATTCATTAATCATCTCAGTTGTTTTTGACAATATTGTAGCCTATTTTCATGCAACGCAGCACCTAGTTTCAAAAATTCAATTTCGAAAATTTTCATTTTAAAAAATTATAATTATTTTTAACTACGTAAAAGTTGAAAACATTTAGCTTTGTTATAATAAAAAAAAAGTATATGATGTTTAAAAGAAGTTTTCCAACATTAATAAATAATGACCAGAAAAATGTGTAAAATTCTATGATATACAAATATTTTCACCAAAAGTGTCTAGAATTACTACTTTCCTTCCATACTATTGTTCATGCTTGGTATGAGAATATTTACAAGTTCAAAGTCATCCATAATAGCGATCTATCTACTTTTCAATACCATTTTGCTTATATGAATTGTGCTTTCGTTCAAAGTAGTTTTCTTATTATCAGCTACTTCTTCATTGTCGTTAATCAATCCCAGCGAGTTGTTTCTTGAAGTGTGAGAACAAAGAAAAGGGAGGACAATACAGGACAATCAGAAAGTAAGATTATTTTAATAGTATTCCTTGTGATTTCTGGCATGGTGCATTGCTTCAATTGTGTGCTTGCGTGTAAACCATTTTGCACAGATCTTTCCTGAACTCAAAGTTCATGAAAGATATATATAAAACCTTCTCTTGATATCTTTAGAGTGTCAAACGATAACATCAGTCACATTTTCATGACATCAATAAACATAGACTGAAATGTTTTTCCTTCGTAGCAACCTCTTTTGAATGTTCAATGGCTCATAGGCTTTGTAACTCATATCGTCTGTACGGAATTTAGCATACCGCTAACGAATCGTTTTTCAAAATCTGATATCTCGGGATCCGTTTGTTCGACTGCTGTGAAATATCTAAACATGAGGAAATTATATCTCACTATAGTACAAAACAGATGCATTCAATTCTAGTGGTTGTCTTTCATAGAAAGCTTTCGAGCCTGCCTAGTACTATCTTTTGATAAAACAAAAATTTGCTGACGCTATTCATTTAATTTACAAATTCTTTCGTGTATAGAATGTAGATAGTTTTTTGGATGGTGTACTCCTTATTAGTGTTCAATGTATTGTATATGTTTGTAGCATAATTTTGTTTTTAATTTTTCGTTTTGATGTTCGAGTACAATAGTATTTGGATACCACATGCATGGTTTCTATTACCTCAAAAACATTTTAGTCATTGCATTTCGCAATCACCACTAAAATCAAATTTATGGCGGTCTCGTAAATAAATCATTTTAACTAAGTACACATGAAAGTCACGTAGTTACGTGTATGAATGCATGGAAATATTCGATAATAAAATAAAAATACTGAATCACATACAAAAATCAATCATAAAAGTCATTAACACTTGTTGGTCAAGCACAAAAGGCCACAACAACAATCAAAATAAATATGCGCTATTCCAATATATGGGTGGAAACAGTAAAAATATATACCTGCATTTTTGAGAAAAAAAAATTAAAAACAAAAAACTTTACAACTCACGCACGACCTTGACGTACAAAGTAAATTAACAAAAGAAGAGCAAAGCCAAATTACATGAATGCTTTGAAATTTAAATTTTTAATTCAACATTGAAAAACTAAAGTGTTTCTCACACCAGCCAATAAACTGAACGACATAAAAATTTAATCTAATAAAGGTAACCCGGCGAATTTGCTGTGCGCACATGTGTGTGTGTATGTAAATAAGTGTCTAAGCGTTGAGTTGACCATCGTTGTACGCAACAGCGACAGCGCCATCAAAAGCGACCTATGACAACAGGTACAAAAATGAAACCAAATGGCAAAGAGTAATGTACAAAATATACTAATGGTAAATACACGCAAAATGGAAAGTGAAAGAAGAGACACTTGCTTCTATAAGAAGCAGCATAAAGAGTGTAGACCTGTTGAGTGTAACATGATTCAAGCGCATGAGTGAGTCCATTCGAGAGCAGTTAAGCTATATAGCTCACCAATATTTTTACCGCACCAACACCAAAAGCGTGTAAACACATTAAAATGTGACTTAAAAAACGGAAAAGCAAAAAAACTGTTGGCACAAATATTATAAGAAATTATTATGCAACTTTTTTATGATGACGCACGGGACAACAATAAACTCCCACAAAGTGGCTTCGAATACAGGTATCATTAAACAACGAGTATTAACAGCTGTAAAATATACAAAACCAAAAGTGTGTAATATAAAAAACGAAAAAATAGTAAAAAGCTTATTTAGCATGGAATAATAGCTCTAACTCTAATAATATAATAACTCTAACTTTATAGTTTAATTACTCGTGCTAATATTTTTTACACAATAAATGGTTTATTGTCCTCTTTTATGTTTTAAATATCATAGTAAACAGAAGGTAACTGTGAAGTAGTTTCATTCCTGTTGCTTATACGCAGAGGCGTCTCTTTTATTTAGTCTCTGGTGCGTGCAACTTCTGTAGTAACAGAAAAACTCTTGATAGATTCTAACGGTTTATATGTATATGCGAATACCGTAAACAAAGCTTAGTAACAACTAAGTATAGTTAATTATTGTCTGCTGTTGATAGCTTAAAAAAACATCCAATAACAAAGCTACCGAATTTGTTGTATTTTTATATGGCGGATAAACTTAATGTTCGGCGCTAAAAATTTTTAATCAGTTTCTAAAAACCACATTCTTTAGCAATTACCTATACTTGTAATAGTTCACAATGCCTCTAGGATTTTATACTGTAGGCTTTTGGGCGCCTTTCTAATTAGGTTTCAAGTTAAAAGGTCACTTTTCATTTGTTCTACTTTCAAAATAAATATAACTGACGTAGGCAAAATAGACAATACAAAGTCAATAATACGAGTATATATATAGTTAATACCATAATGTTAACGTATTAAGCACAAGTTTCAAAGTATTTAACTAATTATAAAATAATTCGTCAAGACATTGGTGTGCTGCAATCAGAACTGAGGAAAATCTTAAATAAAAGAAATAGTTATTTACTAAATGCATAGTCTACCTGCAAATAAGGCTATACCGCCGAGTATCTATACTATTGATGTCTGTTTGAAAAATTTGTGCTACACGCCTAGCCAGTTAAAAGCCAGTTAAAATATCTAAAAATCATGAAGGCATTTATTTAAGATGTAAGCGTTAAATGAATATGCATATGTATTTAGTAATTAGTTTAGTAATAATTTCAAGAGATTTTGTGTGTGTTTTATAATTAAAAAGACCTACTGCTCACAAACTATTTATTATTCCTTAAGTGACTAGGGGCAGTAGGTGAAGTATGAAACATCGAAAAATAAATTTTTCGCATATTTCAATGATATATATTAAAATTAACATACTGAAGTTCTAATTTGATGTTTCAAATGTTTTTTGGAGTACAGTCTTTTGATATGTATCCGCGAAAGAAACATAAAGATTAATAAATTTATCTTTTCTAAACTAAAACTGAATTTTTTAAATTGGCTACAGTTTTAACTCGAATTGAATTCTTATCGCTTTGATTTTTTTCTGTTAATTTTGTAAATGTTTTTCGAAAAATGTAATTTTGGCGGTCAATAATCATGTCAATTTTGAGCAAATGTCGAATTTTGTTTCCAAAGTGCCATTAGTGTAAATTTAAATTTTTTTTGACAATCGTAGGACCTTAAATAAATCTTACAGATTTACAATTCCTTGTATTTTTTTGATTTTAAACTACGTAGAAGGCCACAATCACTGCAAGAGGTCCTTTTTTAGTAAATTGGGACAAAGTGAATTATACCGTAAATATTATATAATATATTTTTTTCAATCTTTTCGTATATTCATTAATTTTGTATAAATATATTCCCGAAATTGTCATGAAGTAGTGTCTTTCAAAAGAATTACAGAAATATTTTTTTTTTGTTTTTAGGCGGTCGCAGTGATGTGCCCTTTATGTTAGTTATTATGCAAATCAAAACAAATTACGTATTGGGTAATTAAAAAAATATAAAAAACAAAATTAAGGCACAAAACTAGCATACAAAAAAAAAACAAGTAACTAATTACCTATTTAATATATAATTCTCAATAAATCAATGTCAAAGTTCGCACGTAGTACCGTGAAGTATTTTCAACGAGTGAAGGAAATTTATTATTTAGTGAAAAAACTGAATAAATAACGGTTTACCTAACTGTTTTCTTACTACTTAAAATGCTTTGAAACCATATATGCTTTAAATAATAATAAATTTTCGAAATAGTATTGGCCATATTAAAATCATAACATAGTATGGTACTAACACATCTTGGAGATTTCGATTTAAGTGTCTTTTTGTTTATATTTCAGAAATTTACCCTTTATAGAATTCAACTGAACACAATTGTGACTGAATATATTAAAAAATCCATTTCTTCTAATATCTTTGCTTTGAAAACAAAACTAATACTCAACGAATAACGTAAGAAAATTTCACACAAAATTGATTTGTGTGATTTCAACAAGTCTTATTAACTTAATACGAAAATCGTTAGATAGCCATTCAATAAGTCGAAACATGCTTAATTTATGGAAATTGTGGAAAATCGTAGGTTGAACATCGACAAGCAAGTTAGTAGCTTTCGATATGCTATACTACTCGCTAACTCTGTTGGTATTTTCGAAAAATGCAATTGAAATATTTCAAAAATGTAATATTTTATAATATTTTCAATGTCAATTAAGTTGATTAAACCTCGTTACCTTCAAAATTAAATCACAGTGCAAGCTAAACAGTACAAATTGGTTGATAATTAAATTCTAATTAAAAGCATAATTAATGGGTGCGATTTATTAACTATGTACATGTGTTACAATGACAAGTTAGCTCAAGCGATTATGGCATGAATAAATTAATGCACCTATTTGTTCTATTTTATATTATATTATTATTGGCTGCCTTAACCAGTTTTATAGTAGACAATGATAGGTAGTGACATTCGCATCTTATTCTCTACATATCATGATATATAATTACATAATTGAGGCGCCAATAATCAGTTAAATGCAGCGTTGCAAAACACGGATTTGTCTTAACTAAACCTTTATAACAATGCTAATTTGTTGGACAATATGAAATATCTTTTTAAATTACCAAATATCATGCTTTTTTGCCGTTTTGTTTTATATCATATATTTCTTGTTGCTAGTGTAATTATTTATATTTCAACTAGGTCAAGTCGAACGCGAGTAGCTCACATAATATTACGAGTTGGATCGAGAAAAAAAAAACATATCTTAGATTGAAAAAGTTATAAAAACGAGCTTAAACAACCTAGTTATGCAGAAATCATGGTTTTTCTAAATAAATGTAAACTTGAAACCGGATTTTTGTAGCGTTGTCAGAGTTGAAGTGACATAGTCCAACTACAAATCGGTCACTCACCATTTCATTAAGTCAATTGGTGAGTTAGTGGTTACTTCGGATCTAACTACCAATAACTGCTTATTTATTGAGAAAAAAACAACGACTAAATGAACATAATGAACTTTGAACTGAATGCAAATTTAGTTAAATAAATATAAACAATTATAGTTGTTGTCTAAAACGATTAGCTGAAAAGTGCTGCAAAGATTTTGCATTGATTAAATCTATATTTAAGCAAAATTGCGAAATTGTGCTGCGACCTTAATCGTTTAATACTTGGCTAGGTCAACTGTGTTGCCACTTGCATATCTTTAGCGGCAATTATAGATATGTTTTATGTCCTTAGCAAAGTGCAAATGGCAACGATTTTATGACAAAAATTTTTGTATTATCTTTGATTAAGGTTTTTAGTGCTTTGCATTTTATAAAGCAGCGTTTTTGTAATTTAAGAAGACATAAGGCGATAGTTACACACTTACATATTTAAAAACATAGTTGAGCCATGTGAGTTCAATCCAAAGCTGTTTAGAAAACTATTTGCAAAAACAATACTTAACACAACTTTTGATTACGGTTTTGCAGGCAGTTTCAGGCGATGATCTCGAGCGCAACAAAAGAAAATTACCCGATGCGACTCTTGAAGCGAAAAACGCAGTGCTGGGATTTGTTTTTGGTGTAAGCATTATTTTAAAATATTTTCTACAAATATTTGCCTATTATAACAAACATATTAATAATAAATTTTATTGCGCAGAAAATCGACAATTTTCTCGACACCAAAACACGTGTCATCGAACAGCTGGATCGCGCCAACATCGAGAAAAACAAGCAGTGGGACATTAAGCAACCCGTACCCATTAAGGACTTCCAAACGCTCGTTACCGCCGTAGTTTCACCCAAAATACGCTCACTTGGAAATATTGCCAATGATTTGACCACTGGCGTGCTGACCACTATCACCGCTTTCAGCGGTTCTTCAGCGGGTAATGGCAATGCAAATGCTGGTTTGGGTAATATTGTCTCGAAGTTCCTTGGCTTCTCTGGCCCTATTCTGCAAGGCTCTGCAGCTGGTCCTGCTGGTGGCGGTACCACACCCGCACCAGATTCAGACGAGGCTGGCTATTAGAGATGCTGCAAGTGGCTGCTGTGATGTTAACTAAAATACATGTATACATGTAGAGACATATGCATATATATACTTATATATATGTAAATACATTTACAAATTCTTCTCCGGCTATACAGTTCAATACAGAGTTATTGTTAAATACGCTCTGCTATCAACATATCAATCCACACACATTTAAGAATGCACTTTCATTGAGAGACACACACACATACTTAAACACATGTACATACAAAGGCAAAGCGCGCACATATACTCATACATACATACATACAGCAAATGTAATACGCAAAATTTCAACTTTTTTATTTTTAACGCAGAATGCTATAAAGTAATCCATAAAAATTTCGAAACAAATGTTTTCCTATTATCCTTGAACTTCGTTATGTACATAAAATACTTATACTCGTAAATTTTTTTGATTTAAAACTAAGCTCTCCTTAAACCTGATCTGAAAAAGATCTGCGCATGAACTCTTAAACAACGGTATATGAGTAATTTTATCATGTAAGCAACCATTGTCGATTTGACATTTTAAAATTTCCAACAATTCGAAATAATATTTTATTTTATAAACTTTCTTTTTTTTTAATTTTAGTTTAATTTAAGTATTTTTTACGTTTCCATTATACATGATTGTAAACCATATCATTAATAACTGTAAATAATTGTACAGGATTTAAATAAATCATTCGATATATATTTGGTTTCTGAAGCACGTGTATTGTTATTTAAAAATAAACTTTCAATATAACAACCATAATAATTTTTTAGCTAAGAGGTACATGTTTACATAAGGGTACATGTCTAACATGTGTTTATTTAAGTTGTTTGAGAAAGTTTGTGAAGAAAAGCTAACGACAGAAGTTTCGATATAGTAAATTTTTTGTTAAGGTCTTTTTGTATAGCAGCCATATGCTATAGTGGTGCGATATCAGCTCCGACCAAAAAAATTTTAAGAAGAAAATTATGTGTGCACAATTTCAGATCGATATCACAACTTGATCGCATGTATGCAGACAGACGGACGGACATGCAGACAGACATGGCTAAATCGACTCAGCTTGTCATGCTGTTCCTTCACATAACATATATATATTTTCTAGGGTCTCCGAAGTTTCATTCTGGTTGTTACAAAATTCAGGGTATAAAAATGTTGAGGGTTTGATTTTAAAATATGAAATATTGATCAATTTGTAACTGTAGTAAAAGTACTACTATAAAACTCATTAAAATATATTTTTTATTTTTTTTTTGTATTTCAAACCCTTAAAGATGTTTTAAATGTTAGAATTTGAATTGTTTAAATATATATTTTATTTTATTTAATTTTTTGTTTTTTTTATAATTACTTCGGATAGTTAAATTTTTTTATTTAGTTCGATTTTGAATGGAAACACGGTGAGGTTCTTTTCGCATAATTTTAATATTCGTTGCCTCAGCCAAACTTAAATAACCTGAAAGTATATTTCGGTCTTCGGGTATCACTTAATCAATTTTTTTCCTCTTTTTATGAAATTAAGCAAGAAAAGTTTGAGATGTGACCTTAATTTTATAGAGATAACCAACACAATCGTATTTGTCCAGATTTTCTCTTTTAACCAACATAATTAAGTGTCAAGAAGTGCTTACTATAATTTCTTTCTAAAGAAAACCATGTAATTATTATATTGTTAGCAAATCGAACAAAATTTATGAAGTTTTTTGGCGTTGACTTTGCGCAGTCGCCCGTTTGTTCAAAGTGTGCAAAATTTGCGGTGGTCCGGTTAAACTAAATCGGCTGTCAATAGTTTTGTGAAAATATTTAACAGACTACTGCTTCAATTTGGTAACATTTCGCATAACTATTCCTTCTCAAGTTGGATATTTGTGCTACATAGCCAATGTGTATTTTTCTTTTTTTAAGATTTTTGTATTAAGATAGATTTTTAGAATAATTTTCTTCTTCCCAAATCTTTTATAATACTTGGATAAAACTTCCCTTCTTTATTATATTTTGCCATCTATTTTAATTACAAGAATTTGTATTATTAATTTTTTGTATTTTCAGTTAACTTCGCTGAAGACCAGCCGTCTAATACGTCCATCCCGAGCTACAGGTAACTCCAACAATAAATATGACGATGTACCGGAATTCGATAGAAAGCAAGTGTCTTTGGACTTTCCGGAAGAACTTTTCAACAAGTCATTTGCAACTGTAACAAACATCTCTAAATCGTTCTCAAGGCTTATTATGGTATGTTTATAGACGAAATTAAAAGCTTGTTTTCATGAATCTACATACCGACCTTAAGGTTGTTAGATAAAAGAAGCATTATACTTCCAAGATTGAGTTGAAATCAATATTGCAAATGTGTGGTAGCTATTAAGGCAAGCTTTTCAACATAAAGCTTTATAAAGCTCAAGACTCATATGCAGTTGTTGCGGAAAGCAATAGTAAACTTAAATAGCTGTTAATGAAGCTAGCTTTTAAGCTTTTCAAAGCTCTTTCACAGCTGGATTAATATAGCATATATGAGCTAACAGAAAGTTGGCATCTGTATTTTTTGAACTAAATCCAAAATAAAGCAATTGAATACCAAAATAAATGCGTCAACGGTAAATTGAATTATACTTTTAATATAATATTCATTGAATAATTTACATTTAATTTTACCAGTTAATAACCATTAGTGAAGGAATGATTGCATATTCTTTATCATTTTGCCCAAATATTATATTGAGCCGTGTATCATTTTCAATTATTTCTTTTTATTTCAGAATTCTGCTCGTCGTTACTCACGCTTTGTTTTATTCTTTAAACCGGTATTTGGAGACGCATTGGTCGTCAAGGGTTGGGAAGATCCAACTACGACAACAACTACACCAAAACCGAAAACCACCACAACTTCAGCAAATCCACTTGATATGCTCAATGAAGTATAAGTTTTCAACGTTTTAAGTAAAGTTTAAGCGAGTTTTGTATTTAGAGTCACGAATATGAATTTGTTATACTATATACTTGTTTTATATAGCGTTATAATTTTAAGAAGATATTTATGGATACCCACATATTAAATATGTACGAATGTTAAGCAAATTTTAATAAAATTGGTATATGGAAATTGGTTTATACATTTATCTTTAATATTTAGTATATCAGAAATAATTATAATTTATGTTAGAAGCATTATATATATTACTAAAGAGGCCAGTCAGTTGAAAATTTCGCATCTCAACATTCAGTATTCAAACCACGTGTTCCAATGATCTTTAATTTTTTAATGAGATCCATACTATTGACTTGTATCATATATTGTATTTTAGAGCAGCGAGCTCTCCCCACATTAATTCTTCCCTAATTAGTTAGAATAATGAAAGTACAGTGATCATGTCTCATCATTAGATATTTATTTTGATTCTATTCACCTATATTAAGAGTATGAGAAATTTTTTCAATTACCATGATAGAATTCAATTAGTTTAAAATGTTAAAACAACATTTGTTTTCCAACTATTCCTAAAGTCATATACGGTAGTGCACACGGGGTCACAATATTAAGGGCCATGTGTGATTTAAAAAGTTTTAAAAAGAATGCGCTATCTTGAGCTTTAATAGATTATCAAAAACGATTGAAAACGAAAAATAGACGCCTACCTCCCTTGTTTGAAAAAAAACTTGGCAATCGGACCATATTGTTAAATTTTAATGAGAATGTTCATATTAATATATTACGCCTTCCTTGTTCTGCTTCAAAATTAATAAAATTTTGTTGTTGAGTTTTTAACCTTTATTAGGTAGATTTATGTTTCACCTAAATATACTAAGGTGGTTTGCTTTCATGTACGAGAAATTCGTTGCCTATTTAATGAAATATATCGCTTTCCACTCAATCACTGCACCGCAGTAAAAATAAAAATACTTGTAGATATTATATGTATATTTATGTTTATTTGCTCAATCCTCTACTGCATCGGAACCACTTCAGCATGCCTCAAAGCCTCGACCGCTTAAAATATAAGTATGTATATAAGCAAATAGCGGTGTAGGAATAAGTTTAAACAAAAAATAATATCAACATTTGTAAATGTTGGAAAACTAAAGATACAAAAAAAATAACTAAAAGTCAAATAATATGCAAAGCAACACAAATTGTTATAAGAAAATTGCAAGTGGCCATAAACTTGCTGCGAAAACGGATGTGGAAGTGGAAGCTGCACGCCAGGCAGTTAGGAAGTTGGAGAACCGAAAGCAAAAGCGGCGACAGATACCAGCAGCTGACAGCTGCGATAGCCAATGGCAGACAGCACGTCCGGCGAATGATGGCATAAAATAGTTGTAGAGAGTCGTAGTGAAGAAAAAAAATTAACAACATCAAATTTAACTTCAAATTAAACATTGAAACTTGTATACAACAAAGTCAGCTAACCTAAGAAGGCACCAAGACAGTCTGCTGGCGGACTATGCCAATGGAGCCGGTGATACACATATACATATAAGAGTATAGTGGTTATATATATTATATAAACTGACGTTGTGGATAAGTATTTGTGCAAAAGTTTGAGCGTAAGCTTGTTCACTAGGATGTTTAACATTAAATGAGTCAAAAAATGACAACAGCGGAATGAATAATGTGTCAGCTGGAGACTGCAAGGCAAGCCGCGAAGAGCGGATGCGGTTGAGAGAGGTGTTAATATTTTATTAAAATTACAGTAGGAGAAAAAAGACACTATGACAATGTTTCAGCGAGTGGATTTCATTGTACAGTGCAATTACTTACTGTTGTAAGATGTAAAAGTTTTATGAATGAAAAACTAAGTACACAAATAAAAATGAAAAGAAAAGAAAGTAAAGTAAACAAGCGAGAAAACGTACGTCATATACGGGTTTACTGTTACTTAAATGATTTTTTATCGAATATTACTACTAATTAAAACAAGTTTTTGTTACAAATACCATAATATAGCTGTAAGTTTTACGACTTAATGATATGGGTGGTTATAGAATCTATGTGATTGTCGGGTAACGGTTTGACGAAAACTACATTATAAGTATAAGCCAACAACACCATGTATACGCATTTGGAATTTGATACTAATAACTTTGTGTTGACAAGGGTATAAAGTACGGATTGACTCTAGTCAATAATGTGTAAATCTAACTGAGCTAAAAATCCAAACAAAACGACTGACTCTTACAAAAGCCAAATTTATAAGTCAGCGCTTTTCCTTTCCATTAAAAGGTATACATATGACTATGGAATTTAAGAAATACTTAGTGAATGAATTTTCTAAGTCATGAAGGTTTTTGGGTATTGATGTTTATAAATATTTAATTCGCATGTTCGTCTGTTAGTATATACAAATTTTGCACACTTTTTCCTTCAAGCAACTGGTCATTTTTTGGAACTACCCATATCGCATCACTATATGTCATGATATAGCCAAACTGTTCAATAAAATTAAAGTACTTTAGTGGACAGCTTTTTCATTTGACAAGATATCTTCACAAAACTTTGCTGACTCTTGTGTCCTTATTAATTAACCTTAATTACGACTCGAAAGTTGTTTATATAAAACAAGTGCACTTAACTGAACTTCGAAGTAAAAGGTTTTTTGTTGGATACGGTTACGTACATTATAGGAAATCTGTGATAAAAGTATGCTTCAAGCTGGTGTTTCGGTATTTATATTCGATATCTTGCCATCGTTTCATCTAAATCACTTGCTTCAATA